ATATTAATTTTGCTGGTGGCAATAAAATATATATTACAGAAGTCATGAAATTAACTAAATGAATTGGTTCATTTATTTTCTTCATTAAAATTGAAAGACAACTTTTATCTATGCACTTTATTCAAAGAAGTTAGCGAATATGTAACCAAATACACATCAACGTCAGAGGCACGCCCGTCTACAAACAAATCAATGTCAAGTAGAGGTAGAAGCAGCTCGCATAGGTGATGACGGCAGGACATGCAGGTTAAAGTCTTGAGTACACACCCTAAGTTGCAGTGTGAAAACCAAACTAAAATGATCAAATGTACACAATGTAAACAACCCTCAGATAGAGCCAGGTTAACTGTTTCCAAACTTTGTCCAGTCTATCTAAACCAACAAGCTGCAGTCTGTATCAACATGGACATTAAAGTTTTCTCCATTTTCTCATCTAACCCCATTATGAGAATATAGGGTAAAATAAGGTAAAACTCCTACAGGAAAAACTGAAGTGAGCAAATAGAAATATGTGCTGCTCATTGAAAGCACTGGCACAAATATTTGTATTTTAGAAAAACCTCTGGTAGGCTTTAATAATCAGGGTAAACCATGAACAGTCCTGAGTCACGTGTGACATTTGGATTTTCAGACTCCAGGAGGGCTTCCACACTAAGAAGACACCAGGTCTTCTTTACTGGAGTGGAGCAAACCCCCCCCCAAAAAAAACTAGCCCGTCTCACCAGAGGAGGTGTGGAGCAGAGACTGGCTTGTTTTGCAGAAAAAAAATTGGCTGGGGCCACCGTCCCCAGTGCCTTATAAGGCAGTGTTTCTGTCCAGCTAGCACGCTGAAGCTGGGACTGCTGTTGCTTGCCTGAGAGCAACTCAACTGCACTCCAGAGACAGATCGGACACTCAGGTTGACTATCTGGGTAAGGACACGGAGGGGGTATCCCCACCTCCCTGAAGAACTGCACATGGAAGGATTGGGGGAGAGGCAATAAGATAAGAAAGGAACAAAGAGGATGGAGAAAAAGTCAGATGGGAGATGCTGGGTGAGATGAGTGATGGTGGGAGTAAGGGTGGGCGAACTTTTTCAAAAAAAATCACAACATTTATGAACACACAAACCATGATCTGAACTGGGATTTCATCTTTATCGGTCCAGAACATCCAGCATGACATTGTTTTTAAAATGCTCATTGCCACGCCACTGACATCGAGTCCTCCTGATCCGCCAACTATGCTCCTCGTCTTGCATGTGATACAATTTCTAATTTAGCACAGCCATTTAGCAGGCATCATTCTGTTGATCTGTGAGCATAGCGTGGATACACAATGTTTTGTTTTAATATTAGTGGGACATTAGATTGGGGATTTTTTCTAAATTGCTCAGGGTATAAAATCCTCAGATCGCTCACCCCTTTGTAGGAGATGGAGAAATCTGAGAGAAAGAAAAAGACACTAAGCAAAACAATACAAGTGTATTACATGACTCAATGGCTTTGTTACCCAATTCTGAATAAGGAGAGCATTACACTGAATGAACATAAGGGTCTGATGGGTACTGTCCCCTACAGAGGATCTGGAAGACATCACACCAACTCTTCGCTATTTATAATCCTTCAGTCTTAAGTGCTGTGCATGAAGTTATCTGTCTGTACCCAGGCTGCAGCTGAATCAAAAGGCCCTGGACTGGAGCTACAGTTAAATACCTGCAGTGTGTTTAACAAGCTGGAGAGGAGGGGCTGGCCTGCAGGCTGAGGGAGAGCCAGAGCCAGAGAATAAGAGATAAGACTGAAAAGTGAAAGGGGAAAGTGCAGTCATTCGCTGGGACTTTGAGCCCCATATATAGCTGCCAACTATTTACTCAGTGAGGTCATTTCCTTTAGGACGGCAGAAAGGCAACTTAGGCGACTTGCAATCAAGTGTCCGTATTTTTTTTTATCTCGAAAAATGCCCTTTCTTTTGCTTGCCCTCAACAATCACTCCTTGTGCTTAGAGCTGCCAAGTAACTTCAGTCAGCAGTGGTGTGTTGCCAAAAACAGATCACCACAGTTTGCACAAGGGGGAAGAATGCTGAGACTTCAGGTTACATCCAATCGAATGCTGATCGGGGCAATATAGTGATTAGCCGCTTTTTTGACTGCAGTGTAAGGAGGCATTAAAGCACCATTTATGTGATTTTTGCTGGCTATTCTGGAAGCAGGAGTGAATTAGAGGTACATTAAATATGACATTATTTACAGAGAAACCTCTGCTCCTTGAATCAAATGATCCTAGAAGTACTATGCTGTAATTACCAGCTGATAAATGGTCAGCTTTCTCAAAATGAAGGTCACTGAGTTTACTTGATAGATGCTGCAGATTCCTCCCTGGCAGCTTTTCTTATCCTCAGATTAGTCAGCCCACTGCTCCTGAAATTAATTACAGACTTTCTCTTAATAAGTTGTTATATAGGAGACGATCCAGAAACCAAACAAGCAGCTCCTTCCAATTCTATTTTTTCCTGTTGCTATGCCACAATAGCAGGGGCTTTGTGTGTGTACTGAATATGAGCCTGTTTGCAATTATTATGGCTCTTGAAATATGCATGTTTTTTATTCAACCTGCAAAAAAGGACATTTCTGAGCCCTCTATGTCTTTGTGTGCGTAAATGTGCTTGAATCACACCCAGAGAAGCAAAACTTCTTGATCCCAGTGACAGCGCTGAGGCTGCTAAAAATGGAAAACTGCAGCCTGTTCTCTCCTACGCATGCTTCCCACTCAACTTTTGTCTCAAACACTCAACACCTCTATCTCTCTGTGGCCTGCATGGAGGAAGTAAACACCACTGATCTTCTAGCAAATTTTCTGCTCAATGTTTTAAGGGAAGAGGGAATAGACAAGGGGAGCCTCAAGTAGCATGGAGGGGGAACAGGGGAGGAGACGGACAGGGGGGCCCCAAGCTAGATGGGGCCCATTAAAAGGGGTGAGGTGATGCTTTTTAAGATAGACCTGACAGTGTGTTTGCCCTCTGTCAGATCCAGTTAGGGGGCCCAGAAATCCAAACACCACCACTCCAACAGATGTACGTTTACAGCTAAAGAAGGCACTGTGACACCGTGCTGGCTACAAAGTGCACAAAGTACAAAGTGTTCAGTTTTCAAAGTACAGTTCAGCTCAAATGTTAGTGATTCCAGCTTGCTCTGGGAAACGCTTCATCTTAAATTCAAATTTGTTAGTTCCTGTGGAGAAATATCCAGAACCAACGCCAGAATATACTTTTTGGCAAAGAAGTGTTAATCTGTAGTGTCAGTAGATCTTCTTTCCAACTTTCACCCAATGTCACCGATATACACTGGTATAGCTGAAGAATTTTTCCACTGCCTTACTCAGCTTTATGTCATCACAAAACTTACCAAAAAACATCTGTCAAAGGGCACATTCCTTATACTTCCTTAGTACACAGTTCAGAGTTTTGCACTAAGTCTTGTTTCCACTGCATTGAGACAAATTGTCCAAAACAAAGCACCAACTTCTAACATTTGCACAAATGACCAATGGCTTCCTTTCTCCTCATAGTATTTACTGTACTGATGCAGTCTATCTATTTTATTTTGCCTTTGTATGATTCTCAAACATCCATTTCACAGTTCTGGTTCATCCATTATAAGAGAGAACTGCTACTTCATTTCAAGTCAGTCATTGAAGTCGTCAACAATTCAAATATCCAGGCTAGTCTATCATTTCATGTAAATGATGTTTAAATAAAGTTACTTCAACTTTACAGTTCTGAATCAAGACTTTACATGTGCACAAATTTAAAATCTGTTTTAAAAACTCAGTTTATGACCCCTTCACCTCAGAGGGACACTGTGTCACAAATATACCACTTCTCTTCCCTTAAGTTCAGCTGAGTACAGCTCAATAGAAAAGCTTTTCAATGGAACCAGTATGATTGACATGCTATAAACATCATTCAGGACCTGTATAATACTTGGGTATTCAAAATGACATTCAGAATTGGAAGATTAGGACGAATTATTGGGTTCGGCAGATACTTAAAGCATGAAAGCGAGCAACTGTTCATAGACAGGCCGCAGGCCTTAGGAAGGACATGTAAACACATATGGAAATAAACAAATATAGGTAAATTTGAGTCCGATGTTTATCAATTCATTTTTAGTAAATGTGTTAAGGATAGCGTGCTCTTTTGCATTGTTTTTGTGTGATATTGCTCTTCATATTTGAATTTAAATGTAAAATTGATATAATCTGTGCATCCTGTGAGACCACAATGCAGCCCAGATATTACACACTCTAAGATTATTTGATTCAGATGGGTTTTTTTCTTTTTTTAAATCAGATGTGAGTTTGGTCTGTTACTCAAATACACACACAACTGAATTTAACAGTGGGTGGACACCAACTCCCTAATCATCCATTAGAACAGGAAAGACCAGAGTGGGTGTGAGGATCTCATGGGCCGTGGGAGTATCCAGGGCTGGTGGGCCCAACTGTTACCAAGGCAGAAGTTGAATTAGTTAATATTGCCAATATATATTAGAAATGTTCGTCTCCATAGACACTGTGAGTGGGGGGGCAATTCTTCCTGCTAGTTAATCCTAATCTGTGGGCTGGCTTCACAGAGCTGCACCGTCTGCACTGGTCATCAGGCCTGTCCTGTCTGCAGACTGTCTGTCCACCATGAGGACCTCACTTTGCCTGATCCTTCAAATCAATGCATTATTACAGCAAAGCATGCAAACACAAGTCAGAGTGAGGGGGGGTGCAGCCTTATAACTTGCAGAAATCAGGTGAAAATAGTCAAATGCTACTCTGCAGGTCTCAGTCTGCCTGAGGAGAACAACAAAGCTAACAGCTCGCAGCAGGTCACAACTGGGGAATAATAAGAGGGGGGGGGATGCAAATACCAATAGTATAACGTTACAGAAGTGTGTGCATACGTGTCTAGCGTTTCAGCGACTACACAACATGGCATCATCAATAATCGATGAGGAGTCTCCCACTTGACTTACCAGCAAACTTTCCAGGTTGACTGAGGAGCGGGGGTCTCGGATCATGCCCTCCAGCTTCTTCAGCCGGGTTTCCATCCTCCTCTCGGCGCCCAGCGACATGACTGCGCTCGTTTTTAACAAACCTCGTAGAGATGGGAGTAATTGATTGAAGTTTTTCTTACATGGGAACCCTCTTTGTTCCTGGGTTAATGGCCGTGGGCCTAGCGGAGCAGCCCCGGGCTCACAGCCCACCCAACTCGCCTCCAACAGGAATACAGTGCACAATGAAAATACTCCCAGCGCGAGGAAAACACTCCACACACGACAAAAGTGGCAAAGTGAGCGGGCCCTCTGTCAGCCAGCGGTTCGGCTAATAAAGTTTACATTTGAATTTCACCCTCAGTTGAATGGAGGAGACATTTTCCCCCAAACTCGGCGATAAAGTTTGAATTTGGACACCGCAGCAACAGGCAGCGGCAGCAGGGCGTTTTCTTCGCCCCCTCTCCTCCCCTTCCCTTTGGGTCTCTGCTTTTAAAAAAAACCCCACTTCGGACTCGCTTCTTCCACAAAACTCCGCTTCGTTTCAGCCCATTCGCTGACGCCCGGAGCCCGGTGAGTGTCGTGAGTTTACCCCCGGTGCTGCCACAGCTCTGGACGGGCGACAACGTCTGTTCTCCCGCGCTGAATCTTTAATAAGCTCCCCTCGCTCTCTTCCTGGATTTCTTCTCGCATTTTCGCATCTGTCCTCCTCCTCCTCCCTCCCTCCTTCTTCTTCTTCTTCTTTTTCTTCTTCTTCTCCGTCCTCGCCTCAGGCTCCAGGCGAGAAAACATTCACGAGTTTCGCTCGAAGAGAAAAAGTCCTCCAGCCGCTGGATTCCTGCTCGTTCACTCGCATCTGCACAAACACCGAGTCTCAAGTCTTTTCCCTCCCCCTTACAGCAGCACACCGAGGACTCAGTTACCCATAAGCCACCTGTCCTGTCCTCTGTAGCTCTCTACCTGTGTCTCACTTGTTTATACCTTCATGCTCACATCATAGAAAAACCACCGTACATCCATTCACTGAAATTAGATTGAAGTCAACACACTTTTACACATTTCCTACTTCAAAATAAAGTGAATTTCTGCATTGGGATCATTCCCAGCTAGCATACAGATGTGGGCCACTTCAGGAAATGATGCAGCAGCACTTGCGGTAGTGGTTGTTATCCTAAAGTGGCCCATTTTTGAACCAGCAAACATGGCCCAAATATCCCAAATGTGGGCCTTTTGGGGGAAACATGCTTTGCTCTCTGCAAAGTGCAATCTGGATGTGAAGCTAATGTGGCAGATGTGGTAAATGGTTAATAAGGCCCCGAATAGAAACGTATTCAAAAACTAATTCAGGCCACCTTTGGAGTGACATGCGGTGGCCCAGACCAAGGAGCGAACCCCCTCAAGTGCCATCCTTTCATTCTTCTGTGGTATGTGGGCCGGATGTGGGTTATGTGGGATGTGGAACAAATTTGGCTTCGGATGAAATGTTCCAGCTTTGTAAGATTCGTAATCATGGCTTTAAAATGTATCATACTGTAGGGAATTCCACATTAACACTTGTCCTGGCCTGTTCTTTTTATCCCTGCACCATTAATGAGGCTCCACTTCTTGACTTAGCTGGTCACTGGTTTCTGTTACCTTAATTTATTATAACTTTAAGCAAACTAACAGAACATAGTGTAAGGTGAGGTCAAAGACCGTGCTGATTGACCATCTCTCATATGTACCTGCATGTTTGCCGAGCCAAACTAGACTCAGTCCCCTTCCTTCCCTCTATCACAGCTCATCATCATCTGATTAATCACAATAGATGATAAATTAAATAATAAAACCAGAATAATTACTCAGAAAGTTCATTCAAATCAGAAGAATTTACATTTGCTCACTAATTTATCAAATTTATGAAAATATAATGTGCAAACAATGGTTCTAACAGCAGTAAAGTACAGAATTATTAGTGGGAGCATTTCAAGGGACTTCCTGGGCAAAAAGCAAAAGGGACCTGGGTGGCCCTATATCGAACCAAAAAAAAGTGAGTGGCATGTTGTCTTGATAGATGGTTTCTGGTTTGGGCCGCAATTTAATGTCCGAACCCAACTGAGCCTGAGAGAAACTTAGACCCCAACCTGATTTTTCCCTGATTTCAGGCACCTCCATCTTAAAAATCAAGTAGAAAGCCCAGTCAACAGTACAAAACCTAACCTAAACCTGTATATCAGTTCCAAACTTTTGTCTAAACTCAGCCCAACTGGTCGTGTCCCATCAGGTTCCTTCAGGCTCAGATCATATATCCACACTCTACCTTGGTGCTGTTGCATTCTCCAGTACATAGCAGATCATAAGGGTCTCCCACACGATTGTTGTAGCTGTTGGCTAATGTAATCAGCCGTCTCAGGGGGCCCCCTCGGCTTGGGGCCCCAGGCAGTTGCCTGCTTTTTATACCCTGTTGCAACACCACTAATAATTTTCCACTCCCAATGCCAGTTTTCCAATTCAGCTTCATGTGAATCCATGTATTTCTGCAAAATTCTCGACAATGATCAATTATTCAACATTTAAAACTCCTGGTTTAATAATAATATCAAAGATAATTGGAATAGGATCAATCAGGAGATCATTTTAATCAACTTAATGATGATTTACAGAAATAATGTAATAATCTGATAACCTCTGAGTGTTTCTGTCAAATATGTTTCTGTGTATGAAGATATAATGTATTCTGTTTCACACAACAGAGGGAGCAGCTGGACCACAGATGAATCCACTCAGCTTAATCATTATGAACTTTTTACAGAAATGTTTTACTGATGTCACCTTCATTGATGCAATGCAAGATTCATTCAACTTGTAGCACTTTACATGTGTTATTCAATATACAGCTGGTCAGTATAGTGGTTTGCTTCCTCTAAGGAAATATTTGATTTTGCTAACAGGAAGTGATGCATTTACGTGTTCTTTCTCTGGAACAATTAGTTTGCATGTGGAGAAAATGGCACAGTAATGGAGCAGTCATACACACAAGCTCAAGCAAATCCTGGTAAAGGAGCAGATGCACTATTTACATTACATCACAGGATGGAAAAAAACAGATTAGTCAACCACCATAAAAAGAATTGAATCTTGACTCATCATTTAAACTCAGTATGGGTTTTAAATTTAATGGCTAACACTGTTACTAATTTTATTCAATAAACATGTATTTATTGTAGATTGTGTTATTATTATTTTATGTCAAAAAGATTGCTGCATTGTTTTTCATGTCATTTGATTTAAATGGATGATTTTTGTTAGGATTTCCTCTTGAAAAATGAATACAATAAGCACAAATAGTAGTAACTGGGTGTAACTGAAGTTTTCAGTAACTACTGTTTCTACTTCATGTGCTCTGCCCTCTAACAGACTTTGCATTTGGATAGTTCAATTCTATTAGGGACTGATGGACTCTTAGCTAGACCCCAATCCTGACCTCTCATGGCCAGCAGCTGACAGGGCAACAGAAAAAAACAAAAACACAACCTTAATCCCACAGTTCTGGCGCCACCCTCTTAACGGTGCCTAAACCCACATATACCCACCACACCAGGTCTGTGGTGTCAGTCCCCCTCAGACGGCACCGAATGAAACACCACGCTGGTGGTCATGTCTCTGAGGGACGACTGCACAAAGGTGGAAGTGGACAATCAGGACAGAACCAAGCAGGTGTCGTTCACTGATACACCCCCAAACAGAGCAGTAGAGGTTTGCGACCCCCCTAATTTAATGAGCCCTTTAGGCGCATTAAAGGCCACGGCTCTATACCTCCCAGTGGGGGGGCTCATACCCCCCTCCTGTGGATTGCATAATTGAGGAAGATGCTGAGCTGACAGAGGAGCCCCCTAAGCTTACATGGCATAACAGAGAAACAGCTGGCTGGAGTTCCACAGGTCCACAGTGCAGTCCATGTAGCAACAGAACACACACGAGGCACAGAGTAGTGGGCCTATGAAAACATGGAACACTGTCTGTCAGTCCCACTGGGGAACAAGATGAGCACTTTCAACCAGTGGCCTTCATGATTACCCTTCTCTCACACTTCTCTGATGGGAGCCGAGGCAGCAGAAACCTGTGGTTTTCGAAAGCAGTCCAAAGCGAGGATCGATTGAAAAATATCTCCTGGGATGATGTCCTATAGAAGGATTGTAGTTTTCAAAGAGTCAAAAGGAACATGAGCAGTGTGTGTGTATGTTGGAGTTCTATAGGAAGCTGGGCTGTGTGGTCCGCATGCTGTGATTGGTCAAGGACACAGTGTGCAATTAAAGCCAGGTACATAAAATAGAACAATAATAGTATTTATAATTAGCATGGATATTATTCTAAACATAAAAATGAGATGATGATTTCTGAATCATATTCTGCTCGTGTGTATATATATCTATATCTATATATAGATATATAGATGTGTGAGCGTGTATATGCCTATACACCTCCCTACTGAGCAGTATGCCTATACTTTAAGAAGCCAGAAGATGGTGCTATAAACCATTAAATGCACCTCTCTTATCTGCAGACAGTCAGAATTCATTCAAATTAAACACGTTAACAAACGAGATCAAAACAGCTGGAGTGGTTAAATGACATGTCATGTAATTTACAATTAGTATATTTCTATTTACTGTGATCACATCAGGTCTTCTGGTGATTTACAGATTATTCGATTAGAAATAACATCATATTGTTACATTGTATCAGTGCACATAATATAAATTGTACATTATTACTAAATCATTTGCATCACTGGTGGGATCATTTCTCAGTGAGGAGTAATTACTGCTGGTGCAGTTTCTTTTTTTTTCAATTCACTCAGTCTTGGTCATCAATATTTAAGGAGTATAACCAAAGCTTAACTAGTATGAATGATTCAGTGTTTGAAAATGTGTTTAAACACTTAATTGCTTGTGTTTTAATTATTAACAACATTTTAGCATGGGTACATCTGACTGGTGGGTCTTATCAAAATTGTTTTAGCTTTTTTGCACGTTTTTTTTCTGAATTTCACAAGTTCTACCACTGTTAAAAAGAAGGTTTTACAATTTAAAAATCTCCAGTATATGCAATTGTGTCAGCTCTTACAGAATAATGTCCTTTGTACTGTATATATTTGCCTCTGTGTTTTTATTGAGGATTTTTATTGTGGAAATGTGACAGAAATGTGAAACTCACCATTTTTATCCAGGATTTTCAGCTGACTCTCTGACAGGTTGTAAATTATGTGGTAAAATGATGAATCAAATTGAAATCTCCCATTAACAAGTGCAATAAAATAATATTTAATATGATCTCATATTATCATAATGTTCTGTCTGATCTGTATATGTGTGGGTTTCTTGTACAGTGTATGCACAGATATGACCCATGTGAAACAGAGTTGTGTGTTCCTCTTATTTATTTGTCTTCATGAGCAATTCACTGGATAAAACAAATACTGTTACAACACAAAAAAAGATTATTTTCTAAAGCAATTTTGGCCACCTGTTATGTACATGTTACAATGTCATAATAAAAAGACAGAAGATCATCTCCTCCAGAAGATCACGTTTTCCCCATTTTCAATAATAAAAAAAAAACATTTCACTGATCACCAGGCCTTTACATTGAAACATAATGCTCAGGTCAAACCATCTTCACGTTTTTATTATTTGCAAATGCAAAAATCTTGTCAACAATAAATAATATTATAAAATGTACACAAAAAGATTGACAGTCCACCACGAGTTAAAACGTCGAACAGATCGGATGTTTAGGAACAAGTAAGTTGTGAGGAAGGATTCGTCTTAGCAAAAATGTGACAGTCCATACAAGTTACAGAAAAAGCTGATCATCTATACATTGACACGAGCAAGATAACAAAGTTGTTTGTTTCTGGTATATTTTGTTTTGTACAAAGAAGGGAGAGTCTTCTTTACAAGCAAGCATCATTGTCTTAACTGTGGAGATTATACAAGCAAGAGTTAAGGCAACTTCTCTGTTGTTTTTGAAAAGTAACATGAAGTCCAGTCATGTTTTTATTTTGTCTGTGAAACACTCGCCTCTATTAGGTTTGGAGTTAGTTGTCATTGCATAATTCAGGCTGCTGACCGGCGCCTGTAGTCTATCATCAAAAAGGAATGCTGGAGGTTTGTCACGAGTCAGTTCATCATCTCAAAAGACTGATTCAGTGGTCCAGGATTTCCACGCAAGAGTTACGTTTTCCTATCTTCACTATCTTTCTCCGACAGGGACATCATGCCGTTTGTAACGCTACACAACATGGTGCAGATTAGGACCAGACATATTACGCATGTAGTTTTATCTGTGTGTGTCTGTATGTGTGTGTAAAGGTGTAGAGCAAGGGAGGAATGCCACAATGGATTTCTGATAGTTCCTGTTCAAAATCAAGCCCCTAAACCGTTTCTAACCCACTTAGAGAAAGACTGGGAGATCAGCCAGGAGTATAAAATAGACTAAAATTGCAAATTTGGCCTGATGATGGAAGAAAAAGAAAGGTCAGGGAAAGGTCATCACATTAACTTGCATTTGTCCTGGAAGCAAATTTAAAGGAACACTGTACTTTCACATTTTGGGAATTACATTTATGAAACTACAGCCATTAGCCAGTTAGCTTAGCTTAACATAAAGACTTTATTAGGTATTATTTTGTGACATTTAGAGATGCTGGTATTTATTTTCAAGCCTTGGAGAGAGCCAGATAGCTTATAGCTTTTTCCACAAGTCTTTATGCTAAACTCAGCAAACCAGCAACATGTTCTAGCTTCATATTCAACACACAGATATAAGAGTAGTATCAAGCTTTTCATCAAATTCTCTGCAAAAAGCAAATACTTGCATGTCCGATAAATGTTGAACTTTTCCTTAAAGTGAAATCTAAACAATTACTTTTGGATATTGTATCTGTATAGTTGACATTTTGTCCTGAGGGTGGTGCTAGAGAAAAGCTAATAGAATGGCCGAGTTTGAAAGGGTTCATGCTCTGATTAACATCAGTGCTCAGTACATTTTATGGCAATCTACCCGCAAGACCATCATTCATCTCTGCCACCGAACAGGACAAAAATGTATCACAACAACTTTTCAGTCAGTCTTCTGTCTTCTTTGAAAATGCTCGCAGGCCGTCGGCTACAAAGCAACGAGCGAACAGGACACAGATTATTTTGTGAAAACTTTGTTCCACTCAGATGGGATGACCAACACGACGGTTTTCCAACTTTCTTTTTTAACTGCATGGCACAGAGAGAGAGAGAGTAGTCTTACTATCCATCAGAGAAACGACACATCTGTATCAGTGTTGTGTATCGGGGGTGTATAGTTACTATTGTTTTTGCAACCTGGAGGGACTAATCATCTTTTAAAAAGTGACACACATATTGTTTTTAAGAAATACAATTTACAAAAAGCATATAAATAATAAATACAACATGACAAATAGTAGTTGAAAAATGAGAGACCTTTTTGGTTTCTGGTCAGAATAGTGTTGGGCGTGTTGGGCGGCTCCAGGTCTCTAAAGTCGTGGCGGTGGCGTTGGTTTAGTATTGTTACAGTATGTATTTGTTCTGCAGCACAGACACTTGAGGCTACAGTGTCAGGTTTCTAAGTTGCATCATCCCTGGTTTTTGTGCTTTCACTTACAAGATCACAGATGAGGTTTGATAGAGAAATTGTCATTTTGCAACAGGGGTGCAATTGCTCAATTTCTATTCTTTTCGATTAAATTACATAATAGGAAATTAAGTGCATATGGAAATCCGTGAGAGAAGTATAAAAAGGAGTATTTCTACCTATGCAGGAAAACGTAAAGAAGACAGAAGACGCTGTTTTAAAAAAAGAACATTTTCACTGCCTTTGCTTTGAGCGATGGCGTGAAAATGCTTAAAGTGACACCAAAGCTGGGCCTTGCCAAGTGGCGAGCTAAGCCTAAATGCCTGACTAACAGGCAACCGATAGAGTTGCACACTGCTTATTCTGAGTCAACACTTTGTAATCTCAACTGGGCTCTCTGCTTGCACCTGCCACACACACATACACACAAAGCTTCATTTACCATGTGCATTGTGTGCGTGTATTCTTATTACGTGCATGTGTGAGTAAATGTTGGGCCTCATTCGGACAAAGAATGACTCATCAATGTCTCATCATAACAGGGTGCAGCAAAACAAAGACTGCAGGTGAGAAAGGACAAGGACGTTCCAATGTAACACATGGTTTGGAATCTTTCAACTCTTACATTATCTTTTTAGTCCAAAACTTTACTTGCAAAGAAATAACAAGGGTAATACTGCTTCTGACATTCACTTGTGTTCTCCTCGATATTCCATTTTTTTATTTTTTTTTAAATAAGTGCTTGGTAAATTGGCAACCATAAATTATCTGGTCAAATCTTTCGTTTGAAATCTTAATGAAAACTAGACGACGTGTTTTGTTTCAACACTCCAGGCCTTTGGCTTTTGATAACACCAAGAATCGCGTTGGTAAATTGCACCTCCTCCATAGGAGTGTAAAATAAATGGCTGGCTTTGTGCGATGGTGTCCCGGCTCACAGGCTTAAGCCACAGTGTAACTGGATCACATCATTCTGGTTTAATGACAGTTACAGTTTGTGATGCTTTTACTTAAACTGCCCCTAAAGCTGTACATAGAGCACAGCGCTGAATCAAGGACAACACCGCCTTTAGATTTGGCTCAAAACAAATAAAAGCTGGCAAGAGAAGAAGTTTCATTTGGCAGGGTCGGTTCAGTGGACAAGCAAGCGTCAATGTGTATAGATTTCCCAAATTATTTTTAAAAAATGAATCTGTCTTCAGTGAGTTTACTCTTGAAATATTTTCTCTAGTGTTATTTCAGTTTTTTGTTTTTTTTACAGATCCCAAAGGAATTATTCATGAAAGAGCAGGCTTTCCTTTGCCCCCTCTAAATTCAGTGCAGTCAGTCTCAAACTAACCCATGACAGGAACATCACTGGTAATGTATTATAGAAAAGATTAAGTACTAGCCTGCGGTAGCAAGTACCTTTTGCAGGTTGGCAGAGTTTCCACATTGCCAAGTGATCCCACTTCGTATAGGTGAGCAGTAAGTACTGAAATGTTCTCAGACAGCAGGGGCTCACGTTACTGTTACTCACTCACTGTTCCAGTAGGATGTGAAAATGTAAATAGTACGAATGATTATCAGGACTCTGTCTTATTCTTGTATAATATATATTTAAATGTAGTGATTTCTATGAGCAAACAAGTAGATGCCACAGGAACATGGCAGAGATCGCATGATTCCACTCACACGCCATCATTTGCTGGTGAAGGTTAATATTTTATCCTCCAGTTTGCGGATTCAGTTGCTCAACACAACTGATGATTTTATGTGCAAGGACTTTTTTCTAGTGTCTGATTGAAATATCTCATCATATTATCCGTCAGTTACACTGCTTCTTTTTCCCACCCATCAGAATTACCCCCAAACACTCGGTGTCCAGGTGGGCAAATATGTCTGTGAATGGTTGTGGACAAGCTGAGGCTGAGAAGATTTTTAGATATTTTCAACTCTGTGGCTCTACAGTCTAGACTTAGTGACAAGTTGTGTGAGGAAAATAAACAACACTTGCTGGAGCTGAGATTTTAACTGTGGTGTGGCATCAGGTCGGACCTAAACAGGAGCCTATCGGATGGAAACCTCTCTCTAGGCCCCAGGACCTTCCCAACAGCGGCTCTGAATATCGTACACTATAGTGTGTAACAGAGCACTTACTCTGATAGGGGAGGGTGTATAAGGTATAAAGGACAGTGTGGGCTGAGAGAATCCAAATGGGGACAGAAGCAGCAGGGTGAAGTCCTCCTGTTGCAAGGGACACAGTCTGCAGTTCAGAAGGTGAAACGATCCTGCTGGCTTCGACATCAAATCTGTAGAAGTTCAGTCCATTAGAGTCTCTGTCACACAGACAAAAGAAGTCCTGTTCGCTCTGCTATGATACACATCAACATGTTTGGTTGGACTCTCATCGGTCGTTGAAGGCGATTTGTGGTGCTGGTAGACTGGACGATGGGTGAGGACGAGAACAAAGTGTGTGTGTCTGTGTGTGTGTGTGTGTGTGTGTGTACATGTGAATGTGCAGTGGTGTAGTTGGGAGGGGTGGGATTTGGAGGTGGGGTTGGACAAGTGAGTGTCATTGATGGCACTGCATCCCTCAGAGCATCCATCTGTGAAACAGAGTGGGAGGAGATTTAGACTGAGTCAGTGGGTGAGCAAATATCCCCCCCAACACACACACACACACACACACACTCACGGCCCCCACCCCTAAGTCGATGCATGAATTGAAGCAGGCAGCCCCAGCTTTAAATTTAAAGGCAGGATAGAAGGTGTTCACTTCAGACCAACAGGGCTTAAAACCATTTAACTGAAGAAAAAGCCAATTTTCAGCAGTGCTTTATAATCCTTCCTTTATTTTCTTTGGTACACGCATCAGTATCAGCTTGACAACACTTTTGGGTAAATAAAGAATGAAATATTCAGCTTTTGCTTCTCTGGTGGTATACATTTAACATAATGTTTAAGATATTTCACAATGAAAGCTCTGTGATATTGCAGGCAAGTAGCAAAGGTGAAATGGAGAAAACAGATTTTGCCTTCTCCTGTATCAGTGATCAGGAATTGTGCATCTTAAGGTTACAGCACATTCATCCATTCATCTCAGCTGCAAGGATGCTTTTAACACTACTCATAATTTCCCTCTTTTGATATGATTAATTACTCTAATGCAGAGCCCTCTCCTCATGTTACCACAACTTGAATTGGTCTTCAATTGCTCTTTAATACAATTTTATTTAATTAACAACTTCAGTGCATCATTAAATTTGTCATTAATGTATTGAATAAATCCTCTTTCATGAAATACGTGCCATTTCTGAAGCCCACAGAAAGATTCCGCCAGTTAAAGTGACACACCTAAAGAAACAGCTGAAGCAGCCATATATTTATATAAAACATATCTTTTCAGTCATACATTTTAATTTTAAGTTCAATTGTGCTTGCATAAGATATCTGGGGAAATCCTAGAAACCCCCTGCATCATCTGGATGTATTAACACCTCTTTTTTCGGTGTGTTCTTTCATTTTTCATTTCACAAATGGGCTTCATATCATGTTCCCTCCTGGTTCTGTAACCCTTTAAGAGGCTGTTCAGCATCCGCCTGTATGAGTGCAGGGCACATCATCTGTTCACCTGTCACTGCTGTGGAGTTATAGCTTGAGGAAAATGCTTCATCATCTATTGAATAATATTTAAGCTGGTACCTGTTTGCCTTTTACAAAACTGTCAATATTAGGGTACACTGTGTTTTCCATGTTGGGAAATTCTGATCAGCCTTTTTTTTCTATTTCAAAATGATCCTGATGTACCGGTCTAAACAGCAAGTGACAATAACATAAAAACTAATCAATTATTTGATGGTTATCTCAAAAGGAATTAAAACATACTACTGAATAAATCTGTGTGACTTTATATTTGTACAGTGTGCAAATATAAAATGTACACAAGTGCATGCGTGTGTGGGAGCACACTGGGGCTGAACCCACCTCATTTGTTTTGATTGCGGATTCGCAGGCATCTCCTCTTCAGTGGCGGTTCCAGGTCTGGGCTCCCGTCTGCTGATAAAGGTGCACTGATGGAACAGGATAGGATGGCCGTTTTGTCAGCGCCGGGCTTTGGCACAGGCTGGATGACCACACAGCCTCCGGCAGACAGCAGGGGCAGGGCATATGCATGCTCGCCCTCCTCCAAGTTGGAGTCAGGGTCTGGCTTACCCTCTACTGAGTTTACCATCTCATCTTGTGCTGAGCGCCGCTTCCCTGGCTCCCAGTCTCCAACAGAGCAATTGTTCTCTTTCAGTGCCTCACGCTCCAGCTCTCCATTGGCTGGCTGATCCTCTTCCTCTCCTTCTCCTGCATCTCTTTTTCGGTCAGGGTAAGACTCAAAGGTGGGGGTGAGAAGCGGATGCCATCCTGTACCATTGACTATGACATTACATGGGGTACAAGGGTTAGTTTGGAGTTGGGTCAATGGTTGGGGCTGCGTCCGTGCTGTGCTGGGTAAGGGTGGTGGGGTGAGGCTGGAGATGGAGGGATTTAGCTGGCTTGCTGGAGGATCACCATTGCAAGAAAGGCTGTTGTTGTGGGAGGGTGGCTCTGATGATTCCAGTGTGTTTGTGTGTGTGGCTCCTTCCAGCAGTGGAGCACTGAGGAGACCCTGTGAGAGGCCCCCTTCCCCACCATCACGACTGCCCTTCCCTTCCCTACCAAGCCCAGCAGCGGGTGGAGATTGTGATTCAGCCTCTGCTTCTACTTTGACCCGGACCTCAGGTAGCATCCTCTGAATTACCTGCTGTTGGCATGACCTCTGGCCCACAGTTAAATCAATAACACCATCCATAAGTCTAGGACTGCTGGTTAGACACTGGTTGCCTGAATTTTCCTCTGCCTTCACAGTCAAGTCCACCAATGCCATCCTGCTTCTCTCTGAACGTACAGGAGAAAAATGCTCTGCAGTGGCTGGCTCTATTTTCTGCTCCCCTCTGTCACTGCCAGAGGAACTTGGAGAGTGTGACCCAGAAACTGAAACTTCGGACGACTCTGGAGCACTGTGGACAGAGACATTGCTCTCCGGCGGATCCCTGGACGTTTTGGGATTCATGGGAATTGGGATTGGAATAGGTATTGGGACTGGAAGGGGTACAATAACAGGATAAGGGACTAAAAGAGTTGGTGGGGGAACCAATGGGGCCAATGATGGCATACCAAAATTCATCATTGGGGGCAGGGGTATAGGTCCATTGGGAATCATGTTGAAAGGGGGCAGTCCTGGCATTGGGAGACCAGGATGGGGGGGCATCATGCCATGGTTAGGATTGGATGAGGGGTGTACATGTGGAGATAGCAGGGGCCTGTGCATGGGGCTTGATGCTTGACCAAGGGTCCTCGGAGGAAGTGGAGGACCAATACCAGGGATCATAGGGTTTGAAAGTGGGCTGTGGGGCCCTGCTGGGTGGGCGGAGGGGCGAAGAAACGGAGGACGCATCTGCTGCATCATTTGATGCTCCATGAACAGAGGCAGGGGCATAGGCCCCCGGGGTGTCATTACCATTGGAGGGCTACCAGAGGGAACTCCAACTGGTGGGTGCAAAGTGGGAACAGGTGGAGGGGGAAGTGTGGGACTCTCGTGGGGTCTGGGTGTGGGGATCTTGGCTGAGGAGGAGGAGGATGGCGAGCAGAGAGCAGCAGTGTCTGAGGGTGAGGTGGCAGAAGAAGTACAAGGGGCAAAGCCAGAATTGGCGGTTGGTGAGGGAGCTTTACGCCGCAGGTCTGTTAATGGTGTTCCCCAGGATTCCGGAGTGAGCAGCTGTACCCCTCCACTGCACTCAGGCTTACCCTCCCCACCAGACCCATGTCCTGGGTTACACAGTGCACCAGGCAGTGCTGCCTGCGTCTCCTTGTAGAAAATGTCCATCTTATATTGATTCAGGCATTTGGCACTGCAGAACTGCAGCCTCCGCTCACCAGCCCCAAAGTCCAGGTACTCCTTAGTGTGGCGAATATGTTTGCACCAGTCACACACCTGCAACAAAAACACACACAATACACACACTGTATCAGCACCTGTTACCCTGCATACAAAATACATCTAATTTGCTCTTGATGAAATACAAGACAACTCTCCTCTGAAGTACCCTGGTAAAGCAGAAGCTCAGCCTCCATACCATCTGGAGATAAACATGTTTTAAAGAGATTCTTTTTAAAGAAAGTGGGGCTCTTTCTGAATAGGTTATTTGTTCAGAGCTGTCAAGAGCAGACACTTAACTTTAAAGTCAGTATAAATGTACACTCCTGTATGTCTTCTATTTATGTAATGCAGCGTGTGTGTGCGTTTGTGCAAGCATCTACTATTCTCTCCTGACTTCTCTGAGTGGTAAATGTGCACATGATGGCATTCTGCAGCTAAGTGCTATTGAAGTGACTTTGTCTTTAACTTTCTGTCCTAACAAGAAATGCCCATTTACACCTTCTGTTGGCAATAAAGACTCTCAGTCTCATTTAACCACACATCACTGGGAGACCGATGCCTGAAGCATTACAAGCCAAAATGATGATTTCCCTAAAATGGCCTTAGACAGTCGTTCCTTCAGTGCCAACTAGTTGACAAACATTATAGTTGAGTCAAATTGAAATGCTAGATAGAAAGATAGTTTAATGTTTATCCTCAATGAGTGGTCAATGCTGAATTAGGTGATGCTGGTAATAGTGTAATGCAGAACATTCTAATTTCCTGTATTAAGTTTTTAGGTTTACAATAGAATGATAAATACTTATGTTTGAAAATATATTTATCATGTTTGTCTGAAGACACATCATGTTATAGATTAAATGTAATTTGGAAGTTTTGTAATCCATCATTAAAACCAGAGAGCAAGAGTTTTAAATATATATATATATATGAATATATCCACTCTGTTTAGATACTATATGATTTAGTTTCCTGACACAAAATCACAAGTATTGTCATTTGTGTACACTGAAGGAATACCAACAGATTCAACCAAGTGATTCATAAGGCCGGCTCAGTCCAGAGGCAGAACTGGACCCTCTGCATGTAGCTGCGGAGATGCGGATGTCAACGTGGTGCTTTAGTTCACCAGAGGAGATTGTTCAGTCAGAGACTCGGCTGAAAGCCACAGGGAACCCCAGTCTCTTTAGTGGCTACCCAAATTTATTAAAAATGTTTAAATCTTTACAGCTTCCTAATCTACTGCCACTAGCCTACTGCTAAATTATGTTTAAATCAACATGAATCACTCAGTTACTCCACATCTCCATCAGTATACTGATGTTAAACTACTGCTTATTTACTGTCAGACCTCATTACACTTTACATTCAGTTTACCTGAATTACATTATGGTTGTTTTACTACTTTCCATTTTGCATACTGAAATTCTGCACCTTTTGGATGTTTGCATTTTGCAAAAGTCTCTATTCACTTATCTTTTATTTATAATTATTACTATTTTATACTAGTTTTTACTCATTTACTGTATGTCCTCTTTCAAATTAAGCAATTCCCTTCGTGGACATCAACAAAGTTTTTCTGATTCTGACTGAAACATGAGGACATTGAAATGAAAAGTTGTCTATCTTGCTCACTGCAGTGGCAAAGCTCCCACAACACCTTGCTGCACTGTCTCATCACTGTTGAACACCTTTTCAGCACAAAAACGGCAAATTTTTCTTTGGGAGGAAAATGAATGTGACCCTGGTAGAGCAGATAGCAGTGGGCGAGCCCCGAACACGGCGTTACTCGTCAGGCCACACACAGCTCACTCTGTCAGCTCTGGGAGGAGTGGCAGGTCCTCGCTGGAGATAATTAAGGCATTAATCAGTTGTCAGACCCCTCAACGACATCCATCCATCACATAGACCTTTAAGCCCCCCTGCTGAATGTTAATAAGTTGAAGGATGCAACCGGAAGGTGGCTAAACTCCTCTTTGTACACTGCATAGCAACATTGGTGTATTTGGCAGGATGCTGCCTGGCAGCCGCTGAAAGACAGCAGACTCACATGGGCTGATTGGGCAGATGCACTGTAGCACTGGCCAGGATTTCCAGAGACTACATAGCATGCTTTTCTGCAGCTGCTACACAGATAAAATATCATAGGTTCTTTATATAAATGAAGCGCTTAACAGCAGATTGTCCTATACAATGTGGATTGTGGATTTTAGAGATGGTTCCGTATTTGTACAAAGTTAAGTATGCAGTGTCATTCAGGTAGAATAACTGGCATGAACACAATTCAGGAGGAATTTCGGTAACTTTGGAATGAATAGAGCTCAGGACAAACACAGCATCTGCTCGGTTTAAACACTACAGTGGTGGTGCTCCGATGTCAGTCCCTTGAATTCCACACGTTTTAACTGCCCATACAGTCTGAGCTATTTCAATGAGCCGTGACTGAGTAAAAGTCAGAAAGGTGCTCTCGCAAGTTGAGTTTGATAATGGTAAGCCCAGGATATTTTAAATAATAAATGTACTGACTCGACTCAGAAAGACAGATGGAGAGCACTTAACGACTTTCTGCACTGTGAGTGAAATTTCACTGCGCATTACGCTAATGGAGTTGTGCTTTCTCCCTCCCCCCCCCTCTCTCTCTCTCGCTCTCTCCCCTCTCCTGCACACAGATGTTTGCAGTTGAGTGTAATTATGGTCATTTATTTTCATCGTGGCCAACGAACCAGCATCGGCTGTGTAGTTTAACCGTTTGCTTTACAACAATTATCGTGCTTCAAAACAAGTGCGATCGCCTCGGCAGTCATTGTTTTTATCCTCCTCTCACCTTCTGACCCGGAGAAGAACCCAAGATAATCGAACAGTCCCGAGATCAAGCACAGGCGAGTTTAGCGTGTAATTAGTTCGAATTAACAAGTTAAGTGAGGTGAGACTTGAAATGGTGATCGGAGGCCGTTCTCCAGGGGATAAGGGAAGGGAGAAAGAGGACTTAATTGTGGCAGCCACAGAGAAGAAAGCGGTTTCACGAGAGACATACTGCAGATTTGTGAATCAACAGGTTGCAGAGGAGGAAGAGGAAGTTTAAGGCAGCGAGGAAGAGGTAGCAGATGTTAAAGAGATTGCAGAGGATGTGAAGGATTTAGATAATGAGGAGGAAGAAGAAAAGAGGATGCACAGGGTTGAGAGGCAGAGGTTTCATATGATGCCTGAAGTGGTTTAATATGTAGCATAAAGAGGTTTCTGAGCATGAAGCAGGAAAAGTGCTTGTGTAACATTGATGTGTGATTCTGGCATAATCACATGGAGCAAACCCATGAAAATGAACCAGGTGCTTGAAGGGAGCCTGGTCGCTTGCTTTTTGGTCCCATCGAAACACTGTGTCTGTTGCACAGTGGATTCTGTCCAGAATGTGGATTCTGAACATAGCAAGAGGCCGCCATCTTAAAGCACCTGGTCCACTGGAAAAAGAAAACTTCTGCAACATGTGGGCTTATTACTTAGCTATCAGCTTACAGAGGCTTTGTTTGTAAAACTATCTTCATCAACAGTTAAAATGACCTGGCTTAGAGGAACCATAAATCCCCACTGTTCCTGACTTACTCAGGAAAAGCTGAATAAAAAGTTTAAACTGTAGATAGAAGCCAGAGAGGAGCAGAGCTACAGTCACTACAGCTCCGCTCTTATCATGCCAGTCATCACCATCAGTCACAGTAAATGTGACACACAAAGGCCATTCTCACTTGGCCAGGTGACACTCAATTGCTCTATATTTCACAGCACACTCCAGATAAAATAACTCCAGATGTAAGAGTGATGACACAGACCTGGTGGGTTGTATCCGAATGTGGCTGCAGCAGACTGGACCTCTCATTGCTGTGAGACTGTCTGATGGTACATTTCTACTTAAAACAGACGTTCAGGGGAAATTATGCTTTCTTGCTGAGAGGTGAGACATAAGATGGATACCACTGTCATCTAAATATGAAGCTAAATCCTGGACCTGATCTAAAGCGTGGAAGCTTAATGTTTAATTTTTCTAATCCATGTGAAATTAAAAGCGCAAAACAACATGTTGTGTTTTTAAGGGAAATAGGTATTGGACAGTTTAGGTTTTTACATGGATTGATTTAGGCTACATCCTAATACTACTACTAATACATTTTTGTTTCAAAACGGCACTATAAAATGAAAATGATCTCTGTCCACACGAGTGTTTTAGCGCTGCACCAGCAATAATTCTGTCTATGCTAACACACATGAAAACTGGACATGTGACTGTGGGTGTGAGCAGGAAGCAGGTTGTTTAATCTGCAGTTGGTTGCTTAGTTACAGAAAAAGGTGAAAAGAAATGTATAAAGAGATTTATCTTCTTGGAGTGACGATGACGTGGAACTGTTAACAACAGTAAAGGTTTTTACACACCAAGTCTGTATTTTTCATATGAATTTTTATTTTTCAATGCGCAACAATTCCGGATAAAAATTATACAGACTTGGTGTGCAAAGAACTTCAGTGTTGGAAGCAAATGCGGGTGACAAGGTTTCTTAGCTGCGGAGTATTCAAACAGGGCCAACAGCGGCAATACATGTCGGTTTTGGGCGCTCAAAAACGGTAGTGTGGGCGGCAGGCGTAAACGTAACAGCAGTGATGAAAACTAAAGCTTTTCAAAGTAAAACATAGCAGTGTGGATGAAGTAGTGACATTCAGACGGCACCGGGTGAAGTGTTTCCTCTTGTTTTCAGTTTGAGTCGAGTGCTAATCAAACTGTCTGCTTGCTTCTGTAGCTTCATGTTCAGTTTACAGATTAATATTGATCTCTCTCTAACTCTCAGAAAAAAGGCAAATAAGCATAATTCCCCAAATCCCCAAAAGGTCTGTTAAATGCTGTGGTGCCTTTTCCATTGTTTTCCCACATGTAACTGCTGAGATTTGGAAACAGTAATGTCACTAATGTGACATCCAATGGGCCAAGACAGTCCAACAATCAGCCAGGGCATAAATAACAAGAGTTTAGCTGCTGACTTATCCACTTTATTTAGAGGCAACACTGAATGTGA